GGTCCCTGTTGTATAATCTTCTCAATTCGAGATGGAACAATTTCCCCTGTGTAATTGTGATACTGGGTTGGCTGTACTGGATTTTGTTGTTTGCGTGCCGCATTGCTAAGCCACTTGAATTTCTTGTTTAGTTTATCCCTCTCATCTCGTGCAAATTTCGATGCCATGCTGTGAATCTTTCCAAGTTGGTCGTAGAGTGAAACCGGGTCACAAGACTTTGCAAACTGCAGATGGGCAACATATAACTTAAGCTCAGCTTCCGCCAATGATTTGCGTTTCACTTTAATTAATTTTAAAAGGAGCGATTTCTCCATTTGTTTCAAAGCACCTCGCAGACAGAAAGGAAAGGCCTTGAAGTTAATGGTTATGCACTTTGGAACTATATGATGCGTTCTACACTTGAGCAGAAAGACTAGTTGGGCATGTAGTTTATGCCATAACTTTTGTAAATTTAACATAGAAAAGAAGAACATCCGAATTCTGTTACTCATCTTGTTAGGTGTATTGAGTTCACGGGTTGGATGTCACGCCAACTTATGTCAATCAAAACTTCCAAGAACGTCAGTCTATGAGGCGTTAAATATACTTGAAATTATTTTTAATTTACGAGCGCTTTCGACGTAAATAAGCACGTCGTCTTCAGGTAAAATTAAATTCGAATAAAGAATTCGAACCATACATTTAAATTTAAAACATTAACGATACTAGCCGTTTTTGAACATACAAAAAAGAGATTTTAAATTTAAATATTTAGAATTAAACATTTAAAATTGGTGCGCATGCGTTTAAAATTGGTTGGCGTGACATCCAACCCGTGAACTCTAATAATCTTATAAGTTGATTATTTAATTTTATAAAACAGAAACGATAAATTCTTAAGAGGTAATCTCGCTATATTGCGTGTATCGCTGTGATTAAATATAAGGCGTAACATTTATCGTTTAAATTGGTATTCGGTTTGAAAAACATCTCAAAAATTAAATATCCTTATTCAAAGATAGATTCAATGTGATTTAATCTTAATTTATGCATTTAAAATATATAAAAACGTAACGGTTGAATTAGTAACGATTATCCTCGCCAAATCGCGTGCATCGCTGGCGATTAAACTAATCGCGTAACGTTTCTCGCATTTTTGAGGTGGAGAACGGAACGTTTTCTACTCTAAATCGATTATGTGGCGCCAAAGGGACCTTTAGGTGGACAGAAAGGGGGAAGGAAAGAGTTAGACCCCGCCCCGTGTCGGAGCGATGGAAAGAAAAATGAGATCACGCTTGGCGCTACAGAGTCCGAGATACAAACAGCACTACTCCCCGGAGTCTTGCGAATACAAACCGAAAGCCCTTCGGCAACCACAGGAGATCTCCCTCCCAGGAGACAGTTAATCTTTATTTCGGGAACTATCGAGGTCCTACTCTGCCAGGAGGGTGTCGGAACAAAGCGCTTCTTCAACCCGAATCCAGTCATCTATCTATAACCTTTATTCATTATTTACCAAAACGGCTAATGAAGTTAGTTGTCCCATATGTCAGGATGGCTCCAATTTACTACCAAAACTTAATAGAAATTACCGCAGACACACAGAGATACGAGATAGCTTCCAGAAAAAAAACCATTTCTGTTTTATTTGTTTCTTTTCCTTATACCAGAGGAAAAAAAGCCTAAAAGAAAAAATTCGAAAAATCATTCTATCGACTCCTGAAAGATATTCAATCTCCAGAGCAATGTTTCCTAAACTTTTGTGGTTGAGACTCTCCCACAGAAAGATCAAATAAGACTCTATGCTAAAGTACTATTGCTATCGAATGCAGATTGAAATTATTGTTTTAAAATAAAATTACGCCTATGTATTTTTATTGCTCTACTTATTATATATAACAGTGTATAGTATATGAGGATTATTCTGCTCGGCTGAAAAACTATTTGTTATGCTGGACTCCCTGTTTTAAGCTTAAGGTTTTTACGATAAAAAAAAACGTTTATATTGAATTTCCTAAATCCCTAGCAGTGCAGTCTATTAAAAATATGCTTACTAAATATAGTATTTGGATGGCTTTTCCTCTTCACCATCGTAAAATTCAGACATATAAAATATGTATATATATATATATAAGTTAGACAAAACATTATACTCTTTAAGGAAGACTAACAGGAATGACATTCTGTCTACAGGCGTAAGTACGATATACATTGCATGTATCGGAAAAACTTCTACATCGCTCACTTTTGAAATATGTCGAGTAAAGGAGGATAATGAAAGAGAAGCCAATGAGCGAGAAAGAAAATCTGGTCAAAACAAACCAGGTAGTTATTGACCAAAGAGGACTTGTAATGGTTGGTTGTAAGCAAGCAACAATGCCTCTAAACCGCTTGCTTTGAGAATAACTGCAATTCTGTCATTTCGGCGACGTCGTAGTTAACAACAATAAAAAAATTTCAAACCGTACAAGAACTTGATCATAAGGAGTCTTTCGCTTTATAAGAAACATAAAAATTGACTAGGGATGTTTTCCTTCAACTATAAAATTTTCTATTGTAATATTTATAGGCGGTGCCGAGATACAGGAATTTTTTAATAAAACTTTTTAGTATCATTGAAATATTTTACATAACTTTTTTATATTTTGAATACAAGCATTTCGTTGAAAGTCGACAAAAAATATAAATATTATTTTTTTATTATTAATTCTTATATTTTTTAATTAAAATTAAAATTCGAATTCTTAATTACGGTATGACTAAACTGTAGATTTTTATTTAAAAAATACTAAAACTTTATGAATAAATATCCTATAATAGTTTACAATTGACTTACTAAATATTTTATAAAAAATAAAATAATAAACATTTTAGTAAAAAAATAAAATAAACAATTTAAACAACATATATATATTATTTTTTAAATAAATTTATTCTTTATATATAGTTATAAATCATTTTTATAATCCCTAATTGCTTATGTTTGATTAATTGGGCTGAAATTTTAAAAAAATTGTAGACCTATAAATTCTCATTATCATCCGTTCGTCTGTCTTTCCTTAATCTCGGGAACGATGTTAGATAAAATTCAAGAGAAATATAGAAACCATAGGGGCGGAAGGTCCTGATTGATTATATATAAACTTCCGCACTTTACTTCAATTCAAAAGTTTCGCCCTGAAAGTAGTTAATAGATGATCGACACAACTCTATTGTTAAAGGAGAAGTATGGTTTACGGGGGTAAGATACCACTAATTTGAGATGGAGAGCATATATTATAAATATGATTAAAAATTGCAGCCCGGCATTGTGACGATCTCACAATAAACAATCGCTCGTTACTACTAAATTTTTAAACTAACTAATTATTTAAAACGTTACCTTTCATGTAATATATTTATATCTTTGATACTAAAGTCATATATGTATTATTATTATATTCGACATTATCCGACAGCTTATACGTAATAACCTAGTGCTAAATAATAGACTTCTCAGGAACTTTCTATTCGGAATTACAAGATAGCTTTCTGGCAATTTTTTCCTCTTTTATTGTCAGAAGCACTTACAGCAGAATATACGTTCGAAATAAACATTCATAATTCGGACATCAGAATGTATATTCTGTTGGTTCTGACAATACCAATAACAAAACCTGAGTAAATCAACCGTTTTACCTGAGATATCTGAATTTTTGATAACTTATATCTGAATTTCCTTCTTCTATTTCTTTTAAATATATCTTCCTATTTTTTTTCTTGATAAAAAAACACATTTTCTGAAGGAAATGAAAGACTGATTCGATGATTCTTTTATAAAGAAATTTACGAAAATCCCGTTCCAGATTGCTAAATATATTATTATTATTATTATTATTTTAAAAACTAATAAATAAACCAAGAAAAAAATTCATATAATAATTTTTTACTGAATTATTAAAGGAATTTGTGGTATGAATTTCCTGACAATCAAGGAAAGCAAATTATTGAGAACTCACAAGGTATGCACATGAAATGGTAGACTAAACAATTGATTCTCGTGAGAATGTAATTCGTGAGTCAATGAGTCACACGAAACTCAATTGCGTGACATGTTTGATGATAAAGTTTCACCCGACCTTCATTAAGTACTTCTTTTTTTTGTACTTGTACCGCATGTGCTTACATTGTACATGCTTGTTTTGGTAGATGAGAAAATTATGCTTAAACCGCAGTTTATGATGAATAATAAATAAATAAAGCATTTCGTGATAAATTTTATAGATCTACAGTCTATATGTTGCTGTTAATTTTTATTTATTTTCATTTTCTTCACTTTTTATTACGTTATGTAATAGAGACAGAAAAAAATAATATTATAAGATATTTAGAAAACTGAATTAATATGTTTTGATTTAAGAAATTCGTTCTGGAAGAAGACACGTCTGGTACATACAAAACCGGAAAATATAATGTCAAAAAACACCAACTGAATTTTAAAAAAATTGGAAAAAACAAGATAAGAAAAATACTATATCTATCATATATTGGAAACGTGTTCGAATACTAAAATTTAGGTTAACTTTAAAAAAATATATATACTAAAAATAGGGAAAATAATTATTCTTTACTTTAATAAAAACAATCGAATCAATGACGACTAATATAAAATAAATAAATAAAAGAAAGAGTAAAAAATCCTTCGTAATTATTTATAAAATCCTAATGTAATTAATTTAGAATATGATTAAGTTTTAAACTTAAGAATTCTACTAATACTATATTTAAATATTACAAAAGTGACGTAATACATTAGCACTTTCATAAATAAATACAATAATTTAAGATAAATTTAATTAATTTAGTGGAATTTCTTACGAGAGGTGTAACGTTTCGACGTATTAAATTAATACGATCCGATAAATAAGTATTAATCACGAGTTTGAACTCACCTTGGTGCGCTTCTCCAGTATCTGTCTCGCATCCGCTTGACAACTCAATCTGGTAAGCTGTGTGTCCCTCTTCCGAGCTCCAGACACTAAAATCAATGAAGTACGTTCTAATTGGACGATTTCCAGCAGTTCGTCCAATCCGCTGGAGTCTACCTCTTCGGAGCGGGAACATTCGGACTGCTGATTAGGTGGCTGCGGTTGCCTTGGTGACGCACGAGTTCACTACCGGTCCTTCGTTCAAAAATTTTACCGGATAAACGTTTCGAGGTCATTCTTGTACTCGGATGTATCAGTATTTGTTTCGTCCCCGGCGTATTCAATTCACTCTTATGAATATATTAATAAATAAATTCGTAGATAAAATTAATAGCCGTCATTTATGAATAAAAATTAAAAAAAATATATAAAGTATCAATACTAATAAATACGTCTAAGAAGTTTAGGAATTTTTTTTTTTATATCTTGTAATATAAATATTTCGAGAAATTATTTAAAAATGATTATATAATTTCGCATTTTTATTCCGTAAGAAATACTTTTATACAGATTCTTATTTTTTTTTTTTACGTTTAATCTAAAATAAACGGTTGGCTGGGGAGTGCAGTTATAAAAGTAGAAGGTTAATGCTATTAACTTTAGTGATATTCCTTTAACTTTTGTTACCAAATCGAAGTCCAGACGCATTTTCCTCGCTTCAACTCTTTCTCCTTTGGTCCCCTGCAATGCCTGTTTCTCCGCATTAACGCAAAGTTTTGCAGAGAATATTTTCGCATTAATGTTAAAGTTTTTCCTTTTCTTACAAAAATCTACTTTAAAGAAGATTGTTACGAAACGTCGTGTCTCGAATGGAAAAGAGGAATTTCCTTCTAGTAAAAAACAATTTTTATCTTTCAAATGAGATTAAAACTTTAAATCCATTTCCGATATTTTTTCCCTATTCTCAATAGGCTTTTTAAAAATTAAATTGTCGAATTTAATACTTAATTATTTAATATACTTTATAAAAAAAATTGCGAAGTTTTGCCACGTTCGATCGGCATTTACAAAAGTTTTTAATGATTTAAAATAAAATATTTTAGCTATTGACTACTCCATTAAGTTAACTATTTTTCTTTTTGATTTTTTTTTCTTTTTCCTTTTACTTTTTTCCATTAAAAGACAGTAGAATAGAATACGCCTCCTTTGTTTCTTCTTTGCAGCATGCTGGTGTGTCATGCAGTGAAGTGTCATTGGCTGTTGTCGAAAGGATGGCAGACTGTGTCCAACCGGACTAATGTATACCGACATAAGATACCACCTTGCCAATACTCACTTATCATGACTTTTATCCTATTCGAAAGACGACTTCGACAAACTAAGAAACTTCTAATAAAGAAAAAGTTGATTAATAATAATTAAAAATTAAATAAGCTATTTGTTTGGTGAATGTCAGTAAATAATTTACCAATAAATTACAATATTTTACTTTTATTTAGTAATAAATAAAAATTAATAATGTAAAACAATAGGCTTATTGAAAGGACTTTTTAATTAATTATTCATATAATAAAGAAATATAAATTTTAAAAAATGTGTTTTTGATAAGTAAATTGATAATTTAAAATAATTATATGATAAATAGTTTTAAGAAGAATAAAATATATTTTTAAAAATTAACAATTATATATTAAGTATAAAATAAATATTTGATAAAGAAGTTATTTATTGTATTGTGTTTATTAGAAAATTATACTTTGTTATATTAAAATGAAAGAAATTGACTGTTTAAACATAATTATAAAGAGAAAAACAATTTTAATAAAAAGAAAAATAATTGTTATTTACATAATAAATAAATAAAAGAAAATATTCAATATTCGGTTAAAAATCTGTGCAGAACAAACTAAATATTAATTTAATAATCTCATTTCTTTAAATAAAATTTACTTGAATTGATTAAATTCCTATATTTATTAAATGTTTATTTTTTTCTATTAATTATAATATTTATAATATAAATAACTGTATCTAAATTTATATCTTATCGCTAGTAATTACACGTAAATCCATAATATCCAAATTTTACAGTAACGTCATAATCACGAATTATGATTGCTGCATACATAATGATGATGATCGCTATAAATCAAATATATATTAAATCCCTTCTTGGAGTCTATTATTATGCATTGCTATGATGTTAAATTTATTAAGTGTTACACAGATATTTTAATTAATGCATTAATATTCTTCATATGGCATTTTATATTCATTATGTAAAGATACGATTTTGTCAGCAGAATAGGGTCGTGTATAACGTATTTTTACAGTTTATTGTTCGAGTAAAGCCACATNATATTCAATATTCGGTTAAAAATCTGTGCAGAACAAACTAAATATTAATTTAATAATCTCATTTCTTTAAATAAAATTTACTTGAATTGATTAAATTCCTATATTTATTAAATGTTTATTTTTTTCTATTAATTATAATATTTATAATATAAATAACTGTATCTAAATTTATATCTTATCGCTAGTAATTACACGTAAATCCATAATATCCAAATTTTACAGTAACGTCATAATCACGAATTATGATTGCTGCATACATAATGATGATGATCGCTATAAATCAAATATATATTAAATCCCTTCTTGGAGTCTATTATTATGCATTGCTATGATGTTAAATTTATTAAGTGTTACACAGATATTTTAATTAATGCATTAATATTCTTCATATGGCATTTTATATTCATTATGTAAAGATACGATTTTGTCAGCAGAATAGGGTCGTGTATAACGTATTTTTACAGTTTATTGTTCGAGTAAAGCCACATTACTCTAGTTAACATTAAAATTATAATATATTTAATAATAGAAGGGGGTATTAATCTTATTCATAAGCTTTGTGTTTTAACCTTTTCTGCACAGCTTCTCGGTTATGCAGTGAAGTGTCATTGTCTCTTTCAAGGAGCAAGATGATATCAAAACACACTTGTGTCTACTGTTGAAAATTAAATTGCAAGCATCTAATTCATATTTATACTGAAAACTTCTAGATATTTAAACTAAAGTTTAACACCAAATACTTAAAATATACAGGTAAAGTTTACATTAAGTTTGAAAACACGTAAATTACGTGAATTATTGCCATTTGTCAAGCTTTATAAAGAAATTTNTTTTTGTCTCATATGCTTTAATAAGGACTTTGAAATATTTATCTGCCAATAATTTAATGCAGTTGTCACAGACACCGTTAATGTTTGCATTCTTTAAGAAATAATTAATTTAGTTTTAATTCCACATGTGCTCTAACAAAAATACAGTATATTATTAATAAAATTGTTCTGAAATATTTCTGAAGATAATTTTTTCCCACACTCGTTTGGATACAGCATTCTGCAATTTTCATAATATTTTTTCATAATTATGTTCGTTTAGTTATGAAAAAAATTACCAAAAGTATAAACAAAAAAGAAATGAATAGAAATCTTTTCTGGTAGTTATGTTCGTTTAGTTATGAAAAAAATTACCAAAAGTATAAACAAAAAAGAAATGAATAGAAATCTTTTCTGGTAGTGATAAAATTTGTTGTTGTTAAAATAAAAATTTCGAACTTTTTATCATATTTTAAAAACTTATACGAAAAAATGTAGTTTTTTAAAATTGAAATTCTGTTTTTACTCGTTTTCTTTTAAATAGTATTTACATTTTGTGTTAAGATTGTAGAAGTTGCGAGATAGAAAATTGGTGACAGAACCACCTGTCACATTATTCTTGGTTCATTCTTCAGTCCGATGACCTTATTTATCCTAATCCCAATCCGATGATGACCTAACTGGAAGGGAAAATTTCCTCTGGGAAATTAACCACAGCTACCACCGACCCATTCGTGCAAGTCGCCTATGTAATCGGCTTATACCATAACAAGAGATGTCCAAATAATCCTATCCTGGTAGAATACTTCTCACATGCTGTGCCGTCTCCTGGCGGCTGTTTTTAAAATTATTTTAAGTATACTTTCCATCACCTGATAGTTTTTTCCTCTTTATCTAGTGTAATTTTTCGAATTTCTTAATTAATTGCCGCATATGATAAGAATGAATTCAAAAAATCGATTAATGTTTACATATTAATTTCCCTGGGCGATTCGAAAAAGTAAAAATTATATAAACATAATCGATGTTTCTATACTTTAATTAAATAATTACATTGATATTTATCCAATGAATGTTTACTTAAGGCGATTATAAATTAATTTTATTGTATTTAATTTAATAAATTTTTTGTAGAATTTTCAGGAAAAATATAATCTTGTTTCGTTTATGACTTTGTATCATTCTTTCTAAACAAATATGTAAAATTTCCCACAGAATGTTTTATAATCCTTTTCTTATGTACACAACAATATAACGATACATATACTCTGGAATATATGATATATTTTCTGGGATCAATAGACTATAAATTATCTAGAAATCATTGATATTTTCAGAGATTTTTGATAGAACTTCTGAAAATATATGGTAATTAATGTGATCTTTTTCAAGAAATCGTTCACGTAACTGGAATATATTTACGATATATCGAAAAATCTATGGTGTTTTTTCAAAACTATCCACCATATGTACAGAAAGACTAAACGAAAATTTAAATTATATATTAAAATATATATGTATTAGAATATAGGTCTATAACATTGCTTTAAATTATTAATTTGTGGCATATATCAAGTCAATCTAAGTTATATATTACAGTATTTATACTATACAAAAAATGAAAATCTGTTATTTAATCAGAATACTTTTTATGATAAACTTATAAACATAGAATTTTATGTAATCTTCGTTGGCAAATAAATCAAGAGAAAAATAATATAATATGTATATTTTTTAATATATAAACTATGAATGATTTTAAGAAAGTTCTGCAAGAATTCTATTGTTTTCTGGAATAGTTGCAGTTGTCCTACTGTCTCATCAGTTATATTT